AGGGACTGCAGCTTCAGTCTGCCCCTGTGGCGGCAGTGGGCAGTGGTCACCGCGCAGCCCTCACGGCTCCCACCTGCCTCTGGCCAGAGCCCCCGCTCCGCGCCCTGGCTCTCCCCTCCCCCGGATGGGGGCCCTGGTTCCCAGCACAGAGCTCCGGCGAGGCCATGGGGAAGGGGCTCGGGGGACGGGAGGGGGACACAGGGGATGAGTGGGAGCCCCCCACCCCCAGTGGCAAGGGCTGGCCAGGGCACAGCCCCTCTGCGCACAGGGAGGCTGGCCACTCTGGTCCCTTGTTCAAGGGAGGGAACTGAGGCCCGGGGAGACCAAGCAGCAGCCTGGCCCCCGCCCCCAGCCGGGATACCTGCGGTGGACCAGATGGTCCTGAGAGGAGCCTCCCAGGGATTTTGACCCAACCCCTGGCCCACACTGGGTCGCTGGCCTGGGGCAGCCGGGAGAGCAAACGGCTACTCTTTCTTTCCAGTCCTGCACGGCCAGACCACCTTGAAGACCCCAGGGCCGACCTCGCCCGAGCCTCCGGATCCAGGACCCCAGGAGCACCCCAACCAGACGTCCCGGGAGCCCCTCCACCCAATCTCCCCAAAGCCTCTAGACCCATACTCCCCCAACCCGACCCCTCAGAAGCCCCCCAACCAGACGACGTCCCAGGAGCCCCCCGACCCAATTTCCCCAAAGCCTCCAGACCCATACTCCCCCAACCCGACCCCTCGGAAGCCCCCCGACCTGACTTCCTGGGAGCCCCCCGACATGGCCTCCCCCACAGGGACCTGCCGCCCCAAGATCCTCCAGGCGCCCCGGCCCTCGGCAGCGAAGGCGCACCTGGAGCTGCTGTGCGAGGTGGCCTGCGGCCCTGGCGTGGCCGTGCACTGGACCCTGGCCCCGGGGGGCCTGGCAGCCTACGAGAGGACCGAGGCTGGGGCCCGGGCCTGGCTGAGGGTGCCCCTGACCAGGGACAGCCCCGAGGGCTGGTTCCAGTGTCGCATGGAGCCAGGGGGCCAGGTGGCCAGCCTGTATGTCCACGGCAGGCAGGAAGGTGAGTGCCGGCCCGGCAGTGGGGAGAGGGCAGGCCAGGGAAAGGGGCAGCCGGGGCCCTGCCGCTGACCAGGGCCGCCCCGAGAGCCGGGGAGCCGCGGGCTCTGAGCTTCGTGGCCGCGGAGCGCCTGCCCCTGCTGTCTGACCCCGAGGCCCAGTGCAAGGGGGCGGTCAGCTTCCAGGGAGGCTGTGCCCCCAGGAACCCCGGGGCGGGGGCAGAGGGGACGACGCGCTCCTCCCTGATCGACCCCTTTGTTTTGCTCCTGCAGCCGCGAGGCCGCCCCTGGCCCTGTGGACCAGCGGCCTGGCGCTGGCGCTGCTGCTGCTGCTGGCTGCCCTCGCCAGCCACCTGCGGAGACGCTGCCGCCGCCCCGCCCCGCGGTGAGGACCCCGCCCGCCAGGTCCTCCGAGGGCTGCGGTGACCCTTCCCCGGCGGCCGCGCCCGGCCTCCCCAGCTGGAATAAAGGCCCGTGGGTCCGGCCATGACGTCTCCTAAGGGTCTGGGGTCGCCAGGGGAGGGCACGCTGCAGCGCGGAGCGTGGTAGCCTGCTGGGGGGGGGGGGGGCGCGCCAGCCTCGAGAGGACGCCCGGCCCGAAGGCTCCGGAGTCTACAAGAGTTAGGGTCGCAAGGAGCGCGGCGTGAGGGGCCCCCTAGGCGGTAGAACCTGGGCCAACATCCTGCCGGCAGCCGGGAGACTCCAGCGGACCCCCAGGCCCGCTGCAGGGGGCTGAGGAGGGCGTCCCCCCGGGGTGAGCCCTTCAGACGCAGGCACGGTTGGGCGAAGGTCGGCTGAGCTCGCCCCGAACACGGAGGCCCAGGGCCGCAGGCCGCACTGAGTCCCCGGGTCGGGGAGTGTCCAGTGCCCGGCTTCCCTTGGGAACCAGCGAGATCGGTTGCTAGGAGACCCTGCCACTAAAGGGCTTGCCCCTCACCAAGATGGCGACCAGGCCGGCTTCATGCCAGAAATGAAGCCTTTCCCAGGAAGCCATTTTGGAATCTGGCAAGATTCATGTTGCGCGCCCAGGGGGGGGCGTCGTTGAGGAGCTGGGAAAAGCGGGGAAGCGAGCCTTCCGCCCTTAACAAAGATGGCCTCCCGGGGCTTCCGCGCTCTGTGAAACATGGCGGAGCTTCCGGTCCCGCTGCCCTCCGCGACCATGGCGGCGGTGGAGAAGCGGCGGCCGGCGGCATCGACGGCCAGTTTCGCGGACAGCGGCCGGCCATCGGTGTCCCGCGCGGCGGCGGCGGCCGAGAGCGAGGAGGACTTTCTGCGGCAGGTCGGCGTGACGGAGATGCTGCGCGCGGCCCTGCTGAAGGTGCTGGAGGCGCGGCCCGAGGAGCCCATCGCCTTCCTGGCGCACTACTTCGAGAACATGGGCCTGCGCTCGCCTACGAACGGCGGCGCCGGGGAGCCCCCGGGCCAGCTCCTGCTGCAGCAGCAGCGCCTAGGCCGCGCGCTGTGGCACCTTCGCCTGGCTCACCACTCGCAGAGGTGCGCGGCGGGCGGCCCGGCGGGCGGCCCGGCGGGCGGCCGGACTACAACTCCCAGGGTGCCCCGCGCGGCTCCCCCGCTCTGGTGGGCGCGCGAGGCGTGCTGGAAGCTGCTGGGGGTCGGGGTGGGTTTCGCCGTGTGTGAGGCCTCGCGTGGCTCAGTTTCCCCTTACCCTTGGCTTTGAAGGCGGCCTCATAGCCCAGGGAGGGCGGGGCCCGGACGCCCCTTCCTGCGGAGGGGGCGGCCGGGAGGGTCCTGCCCCCCTGAGGGGTGCGGGGCCCGCAGGTGTCTGGAGTAGGCTGGGTGGGGGCGACGGCGCCGCCCGGTGTCCGCTGTCTGCTAGGGCCTCCAGGGGACCGACAGCTGGTCACTGCCAGGCTCCTGGGGACGGACAACTGGTCACTGCCAGGTTCCTGGGGACGGACAGCTGGTCACTGCCAGGCTCCTGGGGACGGACAGCTGGTCACTGCCAGGCTCCTGGGGACGGACAGCTGGTCACTGCCAGGCTCCGTGGCCCCCAAGCACAAGCGGACACCAGGTGACGCCCCCATGGCCACCAAGGGGCAGAGAGACGGCCCCTGAGGCCTTCCCGGGAGCCACGCGGGGACCCTGGTGAGGTCCGTGCCCGGCCCCAGGAGTCCCGGCCAGGGTCCCCCGCCTCGGCTCCTTCTCTGGGGCGGGCAGCGTTCCTGCCTGCACCCACCCCATGGGCACAGGGCCCACGCGCTCAGGGCGTCCTCCGCGGCTCTCCCAGGCGGCCAGCAGGGAGCAGCCGGGACCCCGGCCCAGAAGCGGCCCTTCCTAAACAGAGCAACCCCCCCCAAGCTGCTGCGTGCCCAGCTGACCCGCCCTCAGCAAGTGTCCAGCGGCCACTGTGCAGACGGGCACTAGGGCCGAGACTGGCACCCAGGCCTGCGGGGGCCACAGCTCGCTGCCTTGTCCCCCGGCCCGGGTCTCAGCCGGAGCCCCCAGCATGCTGGTCCCAGTGTCCGTGTTGGGGGGCGAGCTACATGCAGGAGGGCCCGCAGGGCTATCGCCCGGGCTCCTGGCCACATCTCCTTTGGGGGTGACTTGAGGATCCCCCGATGGACAGCGGCACTGGCTCCTGCCAGAGTGACCCCACAAGCTGGGGCAGGCGCTGGCCTCTGGTCTCACGGGGTGGCCAAGCCAGCGGGGACGCGTTGCCCAGCTGCCCCTGTCCCCGAGAGGAGGAGGGGTTTGCAGCCAGATGGGCCATCATGGAGGCCGGGCTGGGAGCCTGCCCCACGCCCGCGGTGCCGGTGGCAGGGAGGGCCAGCCCGGCATGGGGTGGGCACCTCCACAGGCCAGCCACAGAAGCAACCACAGGGCCAGGCGCATGGCCCCCGAGGAGTGGCTGTCCCTGCTCCCCGGAGCTGATCTCCCCACAGCTCCAACACCCACCCGGTCACTCCTCGGCAGGGTTGTCCGCGGGGCGGTGAGCCCGGCCTCTGCTTCCCCCGGGGCAGTGGAAGCGGCAGGGGGAGTGGAAGCGGCATCAGCTACTGAGCAGCCGGGAGGGGCCGGGCCTGGACGTGGTCGCCCCACGCGGGGGCTCATCCCAGCGTTCCAGACACAGCGCTGCGGGGCCGCAGCTCCGTGCCCTCCACAGGGGCACTCTGCACGCGAGGCTCACCCCCCGTGCACGGATGGGAGGGACCCCAGCCCTTGGGGGAGGGTCTGCGGGCTGGTGAGGAGCAGGCGCCCCCATAGACACCTGCTGTGCGCAGTGACTTGGCACCAGCTGTATGCGTCTGGCTGGGAGGAGGCGCTGCAGGGACGCGGCTAAGGGAAGGGCCTCGGGTACCACCCGGCCGAGTGCGGGGCGCGCGCGCGTGGGTGGGTGGGGGCGTGCGGGCGTCCCCGCCTCCCGTCAGCGCCCCGTCTGCCCGCAGGACCGCCTTCAACAACAACGTGAGCGTGGCCTACGACTGCCTGAGCGCCAGCGGGCGCAGGAAGCGGCCGGGGCTGGACGGGCGCACCTACAGCGAGCTGCTGCGGCGCCTCTGCCGGGACAGCGCGGCGCCCGAGGAGGCGCTGGCGCCGCTGCTGCGCAAGATCGAGTGCCGCGAGCACGAGGCCGTGCCGCTGGGCGTGTTCCGCGCCGGCATGCTCGCCTGCTTCGTGCTGCTCGAGTTCGTGGCGCAGGCGGGCGCCCTGTTCCGGCTGCTGGAGGACCCGGCGCTGGCCGTGGCGGACCGCCGCGTGGGCCAGGCCGTGCTGGACACCCTGGAGGGGGCGCTGAGCGCCGGCGATGGCAGCCCCGCGCCCGCGCACTACCTGGAGGCCGGTTCGCGCCTGGGGCCCGACAGCCTGGCCCTGGCCATGGACCGGGCCGCCGCGGGCAGGCGGCCCAGCTCCCCCATGACCCGGGACGAGTTCCTGGAGAAGGCGGCCGCGCTCTTCATCGCCAAGGTGAAGCCGGTGAGCTGAGGCCCCAGCTCAGCCCAGCTTCCTGCCCCTGCCCGGCCGGCCCTGCTGCTCCCCAGGGGGAACCAGGGCTGAGGACCGGCAGCGCCCCAGGAAGTGGACGCTGGCTCCCCACAGACCTTGGCTGTTCCCTGCTGGTCCCGCCCCACCGGCCCAGGACCCTGCTAGCTCTAATAAAACCCCCTGGAGGCTGCCCTGTGTGCGTGCTGCCCACTGCCCCGGCTGACCCTGCGCCTCCCTGTAACCCCTGGGGCGCCCTGGACTCGGCTCCTGGAGCCCTGCCAGCTGTCAGGAAGGGGGCAGCCAGGTGGTGGTGGTGCTGACGGGGACGGGCAGCGTCGTGTCCAGCCCAGTGCCCCACGAGGAAGGGTGGGATCTGGGCCCAGGCCGCACCCCACGCTGCCGGCCGGGAGTCAGCCTGCCCCACCCCACCTGGGGAGCTGCAGCCCCTCCCTCTGGCCCTCAGGGGCCGGCCCCCCTTGCAGGCTCAGACCTCAAAACATGGCTGCTCTTTTGTTTTCCCTTAACATTGATTTATTTGAGAGACAGAGGAACAGAGAGGGGGAGAGGGAGCCCTTCCACCCGCTGGTTCCCTCCCCAAATGCCCACAGCAGCCCGGCCGGGTTCCTGGGACGTGGGTGGGGCCATCTTGGGCAGCGTGGTCACCAGGAGAGCGGCGGGGACTGGAAGCGGGCAGTCCCCGGTGGGGTGGGGCGTGGCCAGCGCATGGGCACTCGCGGGCCTGGCTGCCCTGTCTGGAGCTGCAGAGCGCTCACACCGTGCCGCGAGATGAACCCGGGACCTCGCTCCGTGTGCCCCAAGCGTGAGGACTCTGTGAAGTCAGCCAGGGGAGGCGGCGTCCTCCACACGTGGGGTCTGGGGGCTTCTAAACGCTTCCGTGTGTCTTCATCACACGCTCAGGGCCTGGACGCCTGGCCGTCTGCGTGGACGTGCCGCCAGGGCTCTGCTCCCTCGGCCGGCGCGTGACACCACATGCATCCCTTCCTCACCGGGCTGCGTGCCCCCGTCCGCCTCTCCCCACTGGTCAGCTCCTCCCAGGCTGAGCCGGAGAACAGAGCCCCCGTCCACCTCTCCCCGCTGGCCGGCTCCTCCCAGGCTGAGCTGGAGAACAGAGCCCCCTGCCCTCTCAGTGTCCACAGCCGGGCAAGTGAGGTAGACAAGCTACCCCTGTCCTAGAGGCCAGAACAGGAGGCTGGGCCAGCTGGCAGCCGGAGTGACGGACCAGGGCACCCCAGAGCTGACCCCTCTGCTCAGGGCCACTCACACCCCACCCGGCCAGGCCAGCTCTGCCCACGCCACCACCGCCACCCCGGCACCGAGCCTCTCCCTACTGCCCGCCCAGGAGCGGCCAGGCTGGGCCCAGAGGTCCGCATGTATCAGGGTCTTGGGCCGGGCCCCACGCCCTCTGCTTCCCTGCCTCCCTCTCACTGGGACCCATGGCTGGGGCCCTCACTCAGCTCCTCCCAGCCACACAGCCCCCCCAGGAGCTCCCTCCCACCCTCTGGGAGGTGTAGCCCCCCCACAGAAGGCTGTCTCCCACTCTGGTAGGGGCGACACAGCCCCCCCATAGTAGTCTCCCACCCTGAGGGAAGTGTAGCCCCCCCACGGAAGGCTGTCTCCCACCCTCTGGGAGGTGTGGCCCCCCCCCCACGGAAGGCTCCCTCCCACCCTCTGGGAGGCGTGGCCCCCCCATGGAAGGCTGTCTCCCACCCTCTGGGAGGTGTGGCCCCCCCATGGAAGGCTCCCTCCTTGGCTCTTCCCGAGAATCCAGCTAGGTGCTGAGCCGGCTGGACCCACACCTCAGCGCCCCCAGCCTCCCAGGAACCCGCTGGGGACGACCCCCAAGAACGTCCACCCCAGGGCCCCCTGGAGGCCTCGGACCCGGGAAGCCCCTCCTCTTCCTATGAGAACCCAGGAGCTGGCTGTCCCCTGCCCCCTCCCACCACGGCTTCACCCGGCCTCGGCGACTGGCTCGGGGCCACCACGCGACTCCGGCGGGCCGGTGCCGTCCCGGTCCTCTCCTCAACCTGCTCACCTGGGAGCCCAGCCGCCCAGCCGCCCAGGCTGCGGCTCGTACCCCTGCCGCGCCCCTTGTAGTGTCCGCCTGGGATGGCGCTGGGCCCCGGGCAACCCCAAGTCGGCCCCGCCCCGGTCCGCATCTGCGTCCCCTCTGCAGAGTCCCTCGGACCGCGGGAGTCAGCGCGGACCTCCTGCCCGGCCGGCCTCTCGCCCGCCGCGGGCCACGGCCCGGCACCTTCCGTCCGAGAGCTTCCGCGCCCGCGAGTCGGTGCGGCGCTCGTGGCCCGGGCTTGCGCTGGAGCGCGGTCCTCCCGCGAGTCCGCGAAGTGCCGCCGGCGGGCGCCGCGTGCGGGGCGCTTGCGGGGGGCCGCGGGCCCAGGACCCCCACCCACCGGCCACTCCCGGGATCCCGGCCCCAGGGGCTGCGGGGGTCCAACAGCGGGAACCGTCCGCACGGGGCGGGCGGACGCGGAGCGCGGCCCTGACCCCGGTGCTCCCGGGGCGCCCAAGGCGGTGTGCGGCGTGGCTCCCGCGGCGCGCCCCGCCTAGCGGGACGTCACAAAAACGGCCCGAGCAGCGGCGCGCGCCGCAGCCCTGCCCTGCCCGCCTCCCCGCGCACAGCGACCCGAGCCCCCGAGAGCGCGGTGGCCGAGCCGGCGGCGGCGGCGGCGGCGGGCACGGCCTCAGGTCGGAAGCGCCCAGGCGCCTGCGCGCCGCTCCCTCCCGGCGGTCGCCAGCGGGGCGGCGGGGACTCCGCTTCCCGGCGTGCCCCGCGGGCGGGCGCGCAGGCGCAGTGAGGGCCCGGCCGCGGCGCGCAGGCGCAGTGAGGGCCCGGCCGCGGCGCGCAGGCGCAGTGCGGGGCGGGGCGCGCGGGCCTGGCCGAGGCGAAGGCCGGGCGGGCGGGCGGCGGCGGCGGCGCCTGGGCGAGTGGAGCGCTCGGGGGCCCCGGGCGGCGGCGGCGGCGGCGGTGTAGAGGAGGAAGGCGGCGGCGGCCCCGGCCCCGGCGGCTCCCCCGCGGCTGGCGCGCGGCCCGGCCCGTCCCGCGAGCTCGCGGCGGCCCCGGCCCCGGGCCCCTCCGCCGCCGCCGCCGCCGCCATGGCCCGGCCATTGGTGCCCAGTTCGCAGAAGGCGCTGCTGCTGGAGCTCAAGGGGCTGCAGGAGGAGCCGGTCGAGGGCTTCCGCGTGACGTTGGTGGACGAGGGCGACCTGTACAACTGGGAGGTGGCCATCTTCGGGCCGCCCAACACCTACTACGAAGGCGGCTACTTCAAGGTGGGCCCCGCGCCCGCCTCGGCCCGGGGCCCCCGCAGCTCCCGGCCCCGCCGGGTGTCGCTGGGCCTGGGGTCGTCCTCCCTCCCCGGGGCCCCCGCAGCTCCCGGCCCCGCCGGGTGTCGCTGGGCCTGGGGTCCTCCTCCCTCCCCGGGGCCCCCGCAGCTCCCGCGTCCACCATGTGTCGCTGGCCTGGGGTCGTCCTCCCTCCCCGGGGCCCCCGCAGCTCCCGCGTCCACCATGTGTCGCTGGGCCTGGGGTCCTCCTCCCTCCCCGGGGCCCCCGCAGCTCCCGGCCCCGCCGGGTGTCGCTGGGCCTGGGGTCGTCCTCCCTCCCCGGGGCCCCCGCAGCTCCCGTGTCCACCATGTGTCGCTGGCCTGGGGTCGTCCTCCCTCCCCGGGGCCCCCGCAGCTCCCGCGTCCACCATGTGTCGCTGGGCCTGGGGTCCTGCCTCCCCTGCTGTGCGCGCCGCCGCGCCTCCTGCTGGTCCGGTTCCAGCCACCCCGCCCCCTCCCCGTGTCTGTGCTTGGCGCTACGGGGTTGGGGGGGGGGGTTGCGACCAAGCCAGGGCAGGCCTGTGCTCCCCCAGACTCACAAGGCCGACCGGGGTGACGTGGAAGTGTCACCCTCCCCCCCACACACACACACACACCGCCGCCAAGGCTGCCCCTGGCCGCTGCCCAAGGCCTGGACACTAGGCCAGAGGTCCCTCCCCCTCCGGTGGCCCTGGGGGCGAGGCCTGCGCTAGGTTCTGGGTGCAGCGGGCGGGTCCCCGGGGATCCTCCATCCCCTGGGCGGGGTGACTGCGTGCTCACCGCAGGGGGAGGGTGCCTGTCTGCAAGGGATTGTGGGATTGTGGGCCCACCTCCACCTCCAGGAGGCTGGGTGGGGAGACCCCTGGTGTGGGAGGCCACCTGCTGTGTGCTGGGGGGGGGGGCTCACTGTCTCCAGGGCAGGGAGGCCCCACGTGGGCGTCGCAGGCTCGCTCTGTGCCCACCTCGGACAGGGTCTGTCCAGCGCCCCTGAGGCGGGGGCCTGGCCCCCAAGGCCTGGTGCCTGGTGCCGGCTTCCTGTAGCTGCTGAGCCCAGGGGGACACGGCTGCCCCAGGCACGTGGCCAGTCCGCGCCTGGCGGAGGACCCGTCCTGCTGTGCTTCGGGCGACTGCCTCAGCCCCTTGGCCAGACCCCGGGGCAGGGCCAGCGCTGACTCCTCTCAGGGCTGGGCCCGCCAGGACAGCCTGGAGCCCCCGCGTGCCCCGAGCCTGCTGGAGGTGCCCCGTTCCCCAGCAGCCCCGGGGACTGAGGTCACTCGGGAGGGCTCCGGGCGGCCTGCGAGGGGCAAGCAGTAGGCCGAGCCCCTGCCTGGCCACGTGCGCGCCCGGCTGAGCCCCGCTGCCGCCCGCCCGCCCTGCAGGCTCGGCTCAAGTTCCCCCTGGATTACCCGTACTCCCCGCCGGCCTTCCGCTTCCTGACCAAGATGTGGCACCCGAACATCTATGAGGTGAGCGCCCGCGCCCCGCGCCCCGAGGGCAGGGCCTGGGTAGAGCTGAGCCCCTCTCGTCACAGACAGGGGACGTGTGCATCTCCATCCTGCACCCCCCGGTCGACGACCCCCAGAGTGGGGAGCTGCCCTCCGAGCGCTGGAACCCCACACAGAACGTGAGGTGAGGCCGGCTCCCGACCTCTGACCCGGGTCTGGGGCACCTGGCTCCCAGGGCCCTGGTCCCGCCAGGTGGGCGTGTCGGGGGGAGGGGGAGGCCCTGCCCGCTCCCCCGCGGTCCTGGGTCCACACAGCCCGCATGCGTGGCCCCGTGCCCGGTGTCCTGGTCCCGCCAGGTGGGCGTGTCGGGGGGAGGGGGAGGCCCTGCCCGCTCCCCCGCGGTCCTGGGTCCACACAGCCCGCGTGCATGGCCCCGTGCCCGGTGTCCTGGTCCCGCCAGGTGGGCGTGTCGGGGGGGGGAGGCCCGCCGCGGCCCGCACCCTGCTGACCCGCGCCTCCCCCAGGACCATCCTGCTGAGCGTGATCTCTCTGCTCAACGAGCCCAACACCTTCTCGCCAGCCAACGTGGACGCGTCCGTGATGTACAGGAAGTGGAAGGAGAGCAAGGGGAGGGACCGGGAGTACACAGACATCATCCGGTGAGCGCGGGGCGGCCTGACCGGTCACCGGGGCTGTCGCGGGCTGGCTTGGGTCCGCCGCACACTGCGGGGGGGGGCCGTGTGGTTGTCGCTCAGCCTCGGCTTCACCCCGAGGCCGCGTCCTTGTGCTGGACGCCGCGGCCGGGCTGAGCGCTGCCCTCGCGGTCGGCGGTCGGCGGCAGGGCACGACTGGCCCCTGCGCCCGCCTCGTCCGCTGTCGCTCCCGAGCGTCGGTGACCTCCGGCTCAGTGCGACCTCCCCGTGCTCCCGGGCACACAGCGGGGCGGGGGCCAGGCCGGCTGGGGTCCCCGGAGCGGTGCTGGGTCAAGTCTGGTGCTGCACGCTGCTGCCCACTGGCCCGTTGAGGCCCCGTGGCGTGGACACTGCCCTCAGCCTGGTCCCCTGGGCACTGTGTGTGCAGGAGCCTCCGAAAGCTGTGGACAGGTCCCTGGGCGGCCCGCCCGTCCTGTGAGGCGCACCACAGCCTGTGGCCTGTGCCGCGGGCAGCTCTGCCTGTGGGGCCTCAGCCCGCCTCCTCGCCTCCGCCCCCAGGCCCGCAGGAGGCCAGCAGTGCGGCAGTGCCATGTGGCAGGAGGCCGGGAGGGGCCGCTCCGGAGGAGGCCGGGAGGGGCCAGTGCTCACGTCCTGTGGCCCCCCCGGCTGCCCTGGCCGTGCGGGGGCGGCGTGCAGGGCCTCAGGGGCGCCTCGCTGCCCTGTCCCCAGGAAGCAGGTGCTGGGGACCAAGGTGGACGCGGAGCGGGACGGCGTGAAGGTGCCCACCACGCTGGCCGAGTACTGCGTGCGGAGCAGGGCGCCGCCGCCCGACGAGGGCGCCGACCTGTTCTACGACGACTACTACGCGGACGCGGACGCGGAGGCCGAGGGCGACAGCTGCTTCGAGGACGGGGACGGGGACGAGGACTCGGGCGCCGAGGAGTCCTGACCCGCCCGCCCCGACTCGGGCGCCGAGGAGTCCTGACCCGCCCGCCCCGCCCGCCCCGGGGAATAAACTGCAGCGCCCGAGCCGCGGCGTCGGCGTCGGCGCCACCTGCTTGTTTGGGTTCAGCTCTGTTCTTTCTCCGCGTTTGTCCTGCTCCGGAGGAGGGGCCCCGGGGGAGCGCACACGGGCTGCGCCGGCCCGCGAGGACCACGCCGTGCGGCGGGGGCTGCGGCGGGAGCCTGGGGCCAGAGCCGGCTCTCCCGGGCAGGGGCCTGGCCGCCTCTGCCTCCATCTGTTTGGAAGCCAATAAAACTGCTTTGTGAGAGCCACGGAGCCGCTCCCTGGGACCTGTGCGTGGCAGCACTCAGGGCGGCCCCTCGCAGGCCGGAGGACACTGCCCACGAGGAGAGGCAGGCGAAGGGCGGGCTCGGCGGTGGCGACGCGGTGGCCAGTCCTGGGCGCCTGATCCAGCTGCCCACGGGACTGCACGGAGGCAGCGACCGCGTCCGGCACAGGCTGAGGACAGAGGAGCCTGTGCGTGCCCGTGGGCTGCGGCGCCAGAGCAGGCCAGGGCCCCCCCGCTCCACACACACTGGGGGGCTGTGGCCCCTCGGGACGAGCTGTGCGGGATGACCCGGAACGGATGTCCGGGCGCTGGACAGTGACTCCCTTGTATACAGGTGTCACCCGGGTGCTGGGCTGTGACTCCCTGTATACAGGTGTCACCCAGTCCCCGGGCTGTGACTCCCCTGTATACAGGTGTCACCCGGTCCCCGGGCTGTGACTCCCCTGTATACAGGTGTCACCCGGTCCCCGGGCTGTGACTCCCCTGTATACAGGTGTCACCCGGTCCCCGGGCTGTGACTCCCCTGTATACAGGTGTCACCCGGTCCCCGGGCAGTGACTTCCCTGTATACAGGTGTCACCCGGTCCCTGGACAGCGACTCCCCTGTATACAGGTGTCACCCGGTCCCTGGACAGCGACTCCCCTGTATACAGGTGTCACCCAGTCCCCGGGCTGTGACTCCCCTGTATACAGGTGTCACCCGGTCCCCGGGCTGTGACTCCCTGTATACAGGTGTCACCTGGTCCCTGGGCAGTGACTTCCCTGTATACAGGTGTCACCCGGGTGCTGGACAGTGACTCCCCTGTATACAGGTGTCACCCGGTCCCTGGACAGCGACTCCCCTGTATACAGGTGTCACCCGGGTGCTGGGCTGTGACTCCCCTGTATACAGGTGTCACCCGGGTGCGGGACAGTGACTCCCCTGTATACAGGTGTCACCCGGTCCCTGGACAGCGACTCCCCTGTATACAGGTGTCACCCGGTCCCTGGACAGCGACTCCCCTGTATACAGGTGTCACCCGGTTCCTGGGCAGTGACTTCCCTGTATACAGGTGTCACCCGGTCCCTGGACAGCGACTCCCCTGTATACAGGTGTCACCCGGGTGCTGGGCTGTGACTCCCCCTGTATACAGGTGTCACCCGGGTGCCCCGTGTGCATCTTCACTTCCAGGCACTCCCTGAACCTGGTCTGCTTCCTCTCGGGTTCTGGAACCTTCTGTGGGTGGGTCTGGCTGAGCGGGGTGTCTTGGTCCCCGACGCTTAGCGAGCCCGCAGCCTTGTGCCCTCTCAAAGCTCCGGGAGGAAATGCTTGGTGGACCCACGTCCTGGGTCCTGGCTGCAGGGCGCAGTGAGTGAGGCTGCGTGCCTGGAGGGAACTCCTGGGAGCCCGACGCCCGGGCAGCCGAGAGCGGCGGAGGGGTGGGAGCCGTGGGTCTCGCCGCCCTGGACCTCAGGCCTCTGCTGCTGACCCGGCTCCTGGCTCCCACGCCCAGGAGGCGGCCGCCTGGGCCCCGCGCCCGCGAGGGAGACCTGGTGGCAGGCAGCCGGCGTCTGCCATCACACACACAGCTGGGGCACATAGTTGGCATAGCCTGGGGCTCTGGGCGGGGCCGGCTGGCTCTGCACAGGAAGGGCAGGGAGAGGCAGGTGCTCCGGCCTTCTGCTTCCTCCCAGCCCTCAGCTAGAGTGTCCGGAAGCTTCCGTGAGCAGAGCTCTGCCGGGGGCGGCACCTGCTGGTGTCTGCCCGGAGCTGCGTCCACTCTGGCTGCCGTGAGCATGCGTGGCCTGCGTCTTCCCTCCGCTGAGGGTGTGGCTGCTCCGGGGCCTCCGCGCCCTATCCTGGACATCAGGGAGGCCAGGCCCGTGTAGCTGGGCTGCGCCCCGAGGCTGAGGCTTATCTCTGGTCCCAGGCTCCCGTCTCTGCCCAGAGCAGGGGCAGCCATCCAAGTCCCACAGTCCCCACTGGCAGCCACTGGCTCCACCCCCACCTGGAACCCGAGAGCCCCTGGTGAGTTCCAGTGTTGCAGAGGGGAGCCTGCGGCAGTGCGCGGCTGACTGAGCTGGGTGGCCACCCGGGCCCAGCCACAGGAACTGGTCCTGTTCTGGGGTGGGCGCAAACTGCCCCCAGCAGAGAACCCAGGGGGAGGGGCCACCACGTCCCTGCTCCTCCTAAGCCTCTGTTGGCTGGAGCCTTCAGGACGAACGGTCACCACGGAAAGGAGCCCCCGTGCCCTCAGCACACAGAGGTGCAGAGACCCCATGTCCAGGACACCTGGCCCAGGGTCCCCCCCCCCAGCACCAGGACACCTGAGCCCAGGGTCCCCCACCCACCCAGCACCCAGTACCAGGACACCTGGCCCAGAGTCCCCCCCCAGCACCCAGGACACCTGGCCCAGGGTCCCCCACCCACCCAGCACCCAGTACCAGGACACCTGGCCCAGGGTGCCCCCCCAGCACCAGGACACCTGAGCCCAGAGTCCCAGCACCCAGCACCAGGACACCTGGCCCAGAGTCCCCCACCCACCCAGCACCCAGTACCAGGACACCTGGCCCAGGGTCTCCCCCCCAGCACCAGGACACCTGAGCCCAGAGTCCCAGCACCCAGCACCAGGACACCTGGCCCAGAGTCCCCCACCCACCCAGCACCCAGTACCAGGACACCTGGCCCAGGGTCCCCCCCCCCCCCAGCACCAGGACACCTGAGCCCAGAGTCCCCACCCACCCAGCACCAAGTACCAGGACACCTGGCCCAGAGTCCCCCACCCACCCAGCACCAGGACACCTGAGCCTGGAGTCCCCCCCCACCAGCACCAGGACACCTGGCCCAGGGTCCCCCCCCAACCCAGCACCAGGACACCTGGCCCAGGGTCCCCCCCACAGCACCCAGTACCCAGGACACCTGGCCCAGGGTCCCCCCCCCCCAGCACCAGGACACCTGAGCCCAGGGTCCCCCCACCCACCCAGCACCAGGACACCTGGCCCAGAGTCCCCCCCCAGCACCCAGGACACCTGGCCCAGGGTCCCCCCCCCAACCCAGCACCAGGACACCTGGCCCAGGGTCCCCCCCCCAGCACCAGGACACCTGAGCCCAGGGTCCCCCCACCCACCCAGCACCAGGACACCTGGCCCAGAGTCCCCCCCCCCAACCCAGCACCAGGACACCTGGCCCAGGGTCCCCCCCCCAACCCAGCACCAGGACACCTGGCCCAGGGTCCCCCCCCCAGCACCAGGACACCTGAGCCCAGGGTCCCCCCACCCACCCAGCACCAGGACACCTGGCCCAGAGTCCCCCACCCACCCAGCACCCAGTACCAGGACACCTGGCCCAGGGTCCCCCCCCCAGCACCAGGACACCTGAGCCCAGAGTCCCCACCCACCCAGCACCAAGTACCAGGACACCTGGCCCAGAGTCACCCACCCACCCAGCACCAGGACACCTGAGCCTGGAGTCCCCCCCCACCAGCACCAGGACACCTGGCCCAGGGTCCCCCCCCAACCCAGCACCAGGACACCTGGCCCAGGGTCCCCCCCCACAGCACCCAGTACCCAGGACACCTGGCCCAGGGTCCCCCCCCCCAGCACCAGGACACCTGAGCCCAGGGTCCCCCCACCCACCCAGCACCAGGACACCTGGCCCAGAGTCCCCCCCCAGCACCCAGGACACCTGGCCCAGGGTCCCCCCCCAACCCAGCACCAGGACACCTGGCCCAGGGTCCCCCCACCCACCCAGTACCCAGGACACCTGGCCCAGGGTCCCCCCCCAGCACCAGGACACCTGGCCCAGGGTCCCCCACCCACCCAGCACCCAGTACCAGGACACCTGAGCCTGGAATCCACCCAGCACCCAGTACCCAGGACACCTGAGCCCAGAGTCCCAGCACCCAGTACCCAGGACACCTGGCCCAGGGTCCCCCACCCACCCAGCTCCCAGTACCAGGACACCTGGCCCAGGGTCCCCCACCCACCCAGCACCAGGACACCTGGCCCAGGGTCCCCCCCAGCACCCAGGACACCTGAGCCCAGAGTCCCCCCAGCACCCAGGACACCTGAGCCTGGAGTCCCCCCCAGAACCCAGGACTCCTGAGCCCAGGGTCCCCCCCAGCACCAGGACTCCTGAGCCCAGAGTCCCCTCCCCAGCACCCAGGACACCTGAGCCCAGAGTCCCCTCACAAGCCCAGCACCCAGGACACCTAAGAAGAGCCCCCTCGCCCCCCACAGCTCCCTCCGACTCAGGGGGCTTTGCTTTGTCTCTGTGGCTGTGCAGAAGCTCGGTCCATCTGAGGGGAGACAATGGAGGTGAGAGGTGAGAGGTGGGAGGTGGCTGCCCCGCCTGCTGGGCGGGCCGCGGCAATAACACTGGGGCAGCCGGTCTGTAACCGCCCCCTCCCCCTCCCCCTCCCCCACCGTGCAGGCTGGAGGTGCCTTCCTGCCCCCCACCCCCAGCTGGTGGGACTCCCACGGCTGCTGGCCCAGTCTGTGTCATTCTCACTTGGACACTGGTCCATCTGAGACCCTCACTTCAGTCACAGCCACGAAGACCCTTTTGCCAAGCCGTCACGATTTTGGGGGGCCAACTCCCCACACCCCAGCCCCCAGTCCTGCCTGGGCCCCCGTGCCTTGGGCTCCGGGAAAGAGGCTGCATTCTGGGAAAGCGTTCACAGGAATCAGGACCCTGGAGGGTGACAGGGATGGACAGCCCGGCCAGGGTCTGAGCGGGAGGCCAGCCGCGCAGCCCGGGGAAGGCGGGTCACACAGCGCCCTGGACAGAGCGCCGCTGCCCGGCCAGGCAAGCCTGGCGCTGGCCAGCACGGCAGGAATGAGGTCCCCGCCCCCAACTCCCCACCCTCGCCTCCCTCTGGGACAAAGGGTGAAATTCCGCCCAGGGGTTTACAGCCCACGACCTCAGGGCAGAAGGGATTCCCCCTGGCAGCCCTCTGCAGTGGGCTGGATCCACAAGCGAGGGAGGGGTCCCGGCAGGGACCTGGGGGAGGGTAGGCCTGGTGAGGCTGGGCTGCGGGCCTGGGGGGCAGCGGGGAGGGCATGGCCTGGCCTCTCCCCCCACACACCGGAGCTCCAGGAAGACCCGGATGCTAGGGGGGGAGAGACCGGCGCCGCCCGACTGGGCTTAGGGCTGGAGACCCCAGACTCGGGGGAAGGCCCTGGCTGCACGGCTGACTGCTGCCCCCTGCCACCCCAGACACTGCCTCTCCAACACGTATCCTGGGTTCTAACTGTGTAGCAGGAAATTGTACAGTAGCCTTGTCCCAAATACCAAAGAATACATTGTATACTAAAAAGTGGGCCCGCTCTTTGCTTTGTAAAGAAGTTTCTCTTTTCAGTGCTGTGGCCTAGCCCTTAAAGCTGCCTCCTGCAGTGCCAGTGCCGGCATCCCATATGGGTGCCCCTTCAAGTCCCGGCTGCTCCAGTTCCGATCCAGCTCTCTGCTATGGCCTGGGAAAGCAGTGGAAGATGATCCAAGTCCCTGGGCCCCTGCGCCCGTGGGGGAGACCCGGAGGAAGCTCCTGGCTTCGGATCGGTGCCGCTCCGGCCGTTGTGGCCAGTTGGAGAGTGAACCAGCAGATGGAAGACCTCTCTCTCTCTCTCTCTCTCTCTCTCTCTCTCTCTCTGTGTGTGTGTGTGTAACTCTTTCAAATGAATAAATAAATCTTAAAAAAAAAAATTGTAGCATGGCAGGTAAAGCCAGTTCCTGCAGCACGGGCATCCCATGAGGACACTGGTTCGAGTCCTGGCTCCTCCTCCGATCCAGCTCCCTTCTAACATCCCTGGGGAAGCAGCAGACGGTCGCCCAAGTCCTTGGGCCCCTGCACCCACACAGGAGACCTGGATGGAGCTCCCGGGCCATGGCAGCCATCTGGGCAGGAAACTAGTGGATACAAGATCTCTCTGGTCTCTCTGTAACTCTTTCAAAACAAATAAACCAATCTTTAAAACACAATGTTTACTTATGTATTTCATTTTACTTGAAAGAGACAGAGAAAAATCTTCCATCTGCTGCCTGCTGGGATCTGGGGGCTCCAGCCTGGTCCCCGTGAGGGCGCAGGATCTGCTTCCTTGGACTGTGTTAGGAGCGGCTGGAGCAGCAGAGCTGGGACTCGCTGGGGTGGGGGCACAGGAGACAGCGTAAGCACTGGACCAAATGCTGCTCCAAGTAACATCTCTCTTTTCTGTAATGCTATGCATTTCGTATATTCGAAGGGCAGAGCGATAGAGGTGGAGGAGGGGGAGAGAGAGAGAGAGGCAGGTAGGTCTGCCACGCTCTGGTTCACTCCCCAGATGGCTACGACACCTGAGGCTGGGCCAGGTGGAGCCCAGGAGCCGGGACTCCATCCGGGCCTCCCACTTCGGGCCAGGGCCGCCTTCTGCTGCGTCCCCAGGCCGTCAGCAGGGAGCTGGATCGGACGTGGAGCAGCCGGCACTGGCACAGATGCGGGATGTGAGCCCACTTCCAGAGAGCCTGCCCTCACCTAGCTCTTTAAAACCTGAAATTGCCTCGCACCAGCGAAGTCAGGTGACCTGGGAGCAGCTCCAGGAAGCAGAGGGCCAGGGCTGCGGAGAGTGGACCTGGGGGCTGGCCGGGGCTGGCGGGGCTGGCGGGGTGGGCAGGGCCTCCAGGGAGGAGGCCAGAAAACTGGGTCTCAGACAAAGCAGCTGCTGCCCCGGTTCTGGGAACAAAGGCCAAGGCTTCCGGGCAGCCCTGGAGTGCTCAGGGGCTCTGGGAGGGCCAGCAGGGGGCAGGAATTCCGCCCTACCCGCCATTGTTTGTGCAGCCTCCTGGCCTCATGTCCTGCACGTAGCCACTGGCTCCCTGCAGGCCTCCAGGGGCGGCTGGGACACTCCAGGCCCCTGCTCGCTGCTGCCCCTGCCAGCGGCTCCTCTGGCCTCCGCCTTCTGTCCAAGGCCCTCTGCGCAGCCTTGGGCACCCCGGGCTCCATCCACCCCTGCCTGTGGCCTCTCCTGTGTCAGCCCAGGTGCCGTCCCCAGCACAGAGCCACACGGGAGCCCCTGCCCCGGTCACTCACATCCCCCAGTGTTCCCTGGAGACTCACTGGTGCCCACACTTTCCCCCAAAGAGCAGCCCCATCTCCAGGAGCAGTCAGTCGGCCCTGGCTAACCGCGAATCCCCCTCCCGTCCCTGTGAGGTCCCGTCATTGGAGCCCCTGTGTCTGTGTCTCCACGGCATGGCCGTGGCGTCCTCGGGCCCCTCGGTTACTGCAGGAAAGGCTGTGGAAGCCGTGGGTTCTCGTCTTCACGCAAGAAAGAATTCAGGCGTGAGACAGAGAGCGGAGTGCTGAGGCTTTACTGGGGACAGGGCACCCGTCAGAACACTGGGGACAGACAGCGCGCGCGCCCAGTCGCTGGGACCGGGGGAGAGTGAGGTTCCGTGGTTGAGTGAACACACCTGGGCAGCCCAGGCGGGCGGGCGGCTCAGCAGAGAGGCAGAGGGCTCCCGAGGTGCTTAAGGAAGTCTGTTTACCCACCTCCCCTCTCCTCCAGGACAAAGGACAAAGGAGAACCCTGGTGGAAGGGTTTGTTGGGTGAAAACTAGCAAATTCCTCACCAGATTTGCTGGGGCCAGGCAAGGCAGAGGGACTTCCCTTGGGGCGTCTGAGAAGGTTTTATTGCCCCGTGTTATCAGGTCAGGTAACCCCTGTGGTCCTGAGAGAGGAGTCTCCTGGGGGAAGGGCTGGGAGTCCGAGCAGGGTCCGAGCAGGGCTTCGAAGTGCAAGGTGCTGGTCTCCAGGCTGTCCCTACACACAGAGGCTGCCTAACACCGCCACACTGTCCCGGGCCAGAGCCTCCCGGTGCATGGTATGCATGGCCCTGTTCCTGTCGATGGCCTGTGACCCCAGGGTTAAGCAGTGGCTCTGCTCTTCCAGGCACCACTTCGTGTCCCCAGCGGCAGGGTGCAAAGGCCCAGCCCGCCCTGCCCCCCGCTGGTCAGACCTGCTGACTGGCTGAGGACGCCTGTTCAGAGCCTTCGTAGACTTCGCACAGGTTTTACTGATTTATTTGAAAGGCTGAGTGACACAGAGAAATCTTCCATCCGCTGCTTCACTCCCCAGATACCTGCCACAGCCTGGGCCAGGCGGGAGCCCAATCCCGGTCTCCCGCGTGCGAGGCAGGGCCCCCGGGGACCTGGGCTGTCACACAGGGCTGATGGCAGTGGCATGGAGTGAGGGGACGCCACAGCCCAGGTCGGCGTGCCTGGGGCACACCCCGCTTCCTGCTCACCCACCACGCGGCGCCCATGCCCGGATGGAGCTCCCGGGCCCCTGCTCTGGCCCATCCTCACTCCACCCCTGCCACTTTCAAATAAATAAAATACAACTGAAACAGCAGAAAGCGAGCGCTTTCCGGGTGTACCTGCTGGCGGGGATGGGGGAACCCGTTCTCTTAGCCGAGGAAGAATCCTGAAGGCAGAGGCGTGGCCGGCCAGGCAGCAGCAGAAGGGGCAGGCAGCCCAGGGGAGGAACGGGTGGACCCGCGCCCGCCACCCACCCAGGGAAGCCAATGCCGTGCGGCTACACAGGGACCGCAGCTCATCTGCACCCAGACTGCGGACTGTGCGGCGCTCCTCCCTCCTCAGCCACAGGTGAGGGGTGCAGGAGTGACGAAGGAGGCATCCGCCCCAGGTGAGGGGTCCAAGAGTGATGGAGGAGGCACCCGCCCCAGGGGAGGGGTGCAGGAGTGATGGAGGGGGCATCCGCCCCAGGGGAGGGGTGCAGGAGTGATGGAGGAGGCATCCGCCCCAGGGGAGGGGTGCAGGAGTGACAGAGGGGGCACCCGCCCCAGGGGAGGGGTGCAGGAGTGATGGAGGAGGCATCCGCCCCAGGGGAGGGGTGCAGGAGTGACAGAGGGGGCACCCGCCCCAGGGGAGGGGTGTAGGAGTGACAGAGGGGGCATCCGCCCCAGGGGAGGGGTGCAGGAGTGACGGAGGGGGCACCCGCCCCAGGTTCCCCGGCTCAGCGCTGTCCCGCGGGGAGCCCACGCAACCCCGGGCACAGGACGGCCTCCTGTCCAGTACTGGGCCTGGGCGGGATCCCGCGGGGTAAAACTCGGGGCGCTTCCCCGACTCCTGGCCCTCCCCAGGCCGCGCTCGCACGCATGCGCCGACGCCTAACTTCCACCCCGACTCCACGGCACCTGGGCGCGCGCGCGGCCTGCGGCCCTCGTCTGGGTCGTGGGGGGTCCCAGCGCCGTCCCCAGCAGGGGTGCGGCAGGAACGTGCGCGTCTGAGCGCGCACCCTAGCCCCCGAGCCCTGCCCGGGGTCCCCGCTACGCCGCGCCGCCCCCGGGGTCCCGTGGCCCGCCCGGAGTCACGTGGCCCGCCCCGGCCTCCGCAGCCTCCGCCCGCCTGTCCGGCGCCCGCGTACGTGCGTGTGTGCGCGTGCGCGGAGCGCCCGTAGCCCCCACCACCACCACCGTGCGCGCCCCGCCCCCGGGGCACCGCCCTGCGTGCGCGCGCCCGGCACGCGCGCCCGGCCGGTCTTATAGGGGCCGTAGCCGGCAGCGGGCACGGCGCTCGGTGGACGGCGGACGGCGGGGACATGGCGGCTGTGCTGTTCGCGCTGCTGGCGCTCGCGCTGCTGCGCGCCGGGGGCGCCTCTGCGGCAGGTGGGCGCCGCTCGGGGGCTGCGGGCGGGGGCTACGAGCCGGGGCGGGGGGGCTACGAGCCGCCGCCGCCCCGGGGGTCCCGGCCCGGGCCCTCGTCGGGAGGGCGGCCACCCTGCAGAGCAGGGCCCCGGGTCTCGGGGGCCGCCGTCCCCCTCCACGGTGCACGCGGCCGGGGCTGACCCCCGCGTGGGACGCCGCTCGTGGCCCTCGGCTGCAGTCCGCGGCCGCTGCCCGGGCAGGCTGGGCCCCGGGATTATCATTCCTGCGGGGATTTGGCCGGCGGCGCGCCCGCGTTTGCGGGGTCTGCGCGGGCGTGCGGGCCCCCTCCTCCTCTGCCTGTTGGGGGTGGGTCTCCAAGGTCACCGCGAGGTCGCCCAGGCCGCTGGGGGGAGCCCCGCGTGGAGCCCCAGGGCCCGGCCGGGAGCTCCCGGGCCGCTGCTGACCCACTTCGGCGGCTTCCTCTTCCCGGTCCCCGGCCTCGACCGAGCGCGGGGGGCGCGAGGGAGCCCCAGGCGGCGCCGGGTTTCCTGCGGGGCCCCCGCGGAGCGCGCTCTGGCCCTGCCGGGCTTAGTCGACCGTACCCCGGGGCCGGGGGCCGTGCGGGATCTCAGCCCTGCGCGGAGCGGCGGTGTGCGTGGGCGCACGGTGCGTGGTGGGGTGTTGCTTCCGACTTGGCTCCCGGGCGCCTTATATGGGTGTTCGGGTCTTGCCCGTGCACGCTTCTGCTCTCTGTGCGGGGCCTGGCCGCGCTGGGTTGGCCACCTCCTGTCCCCCCGGGTCGGGGCCTGGCCAGCTCTGTTCTCCAGGCGCACAGCCGCGGGCCCCCGCGGGGGTTAGCCCAGGAGGGCCGCACTCTGGCCCGCCCCGAGCAAACGCTTAACCTCTGGCCTCCGGGGGAGGCTTGGCTGAGGGTGGGGCGGCAGAGGCGAGGCCCCCAGCGGGTGGGGCCCCTTCCCTCCCGAGCGGCCCCGCCTTAGGCTGGGCTTGTTTACCGAGGCCGCGCCTGGCCCCCTGCCCGCCTGGCCGCTCTCTAGTGAAGGTGACTTGAACCTGAGTTGCAGATCACGTGGGCCGAGTGGAGCTGTGGCTTTTCTGAGACTGACCCTGGGGCTGGATGTGGCGTGGACTGGGGCGGCCAGGGGCCTCACCCCAGGGAGCTGGGCCACCAGTGTCCCCCTGACGTCCAGCTGCTCTTGTCGGAGGCTGCGTCTGTCCCTTGGGGAGCGCCAGGTGGTGCAGACCTGTGGAGGGGCGGCCGGTTCCCCACCTTGGACACCGGGGCTGGGACAGCTGCGGCCAGGCTAGTACGGCCTCTCCCGGTACCTGCAGGCGGCCGGGGTGTTCGGGGGGCACCTCGGCTTCACTTCCTGCCTGACTCAGCTCTGCCAGGGCTGTGGGATTTGCAGCTAGGGGTCCTTCTGCTGGAGGCCACCTGGGCTGGTCCAGCGGCCTCCAGGCGGGCCAGGGAGGCAGGTGCCTCGTCCCCAGGGCACCTGGGGCCGGAGCGTCAGGACCCAGGGGAGGGTGGACGGGAGCCCCTGCCCGCCCCTGTCCGCCTAGGCAGTGTCCAGGACCCTCTGTTGTGTTCAAATAAGGAAGCCGATGATGGCCCGGGTGTCCGTGCCAAGAGGGCCCTGCGCCCCTCACTGTCCCCACAGCTGCCTTGTTCGCAGAGCCCAGCGCCCGTCCCGTGACCTTAGGGGCTCAGCCCTAGCTGGACATGCGTGTGCTCCCCCTGCCCTGCCTTCCGTGGGGGCAGCCCGCTCCTGTTCTGCCGTGGGGGCCTCACGCTCTCGCCCTCTCCCCGTAGCTGGCTTTGTGCGGCCCCCACTGTCGCAGGAGGGGCGGGCGGGGGGCAGCGTGGAGCTGCACTGTGAGGCCGTGGGCCGCCCGGTCCCCGAGATCCAGTGGTGGTTTGAAGGGGACGGCCCCGGCGACGGCAGCTCCCAGCTCTGGGACGGCGCCCGGCAGGGCCGCGTGCACATCCACGCTGCCTACCGCGAGCACGCGGCCAGCACCGTGTCCATCGCCCAGCTCAGCGCCGAGGACGCGGGCACCTACGAGTGCCGGGCCAGCAACGACCCCGACCGCAACCACCTGACCCGGCCGCCCAGGGTCAAGTGGGTCCGTGCCCAGGCAGCCTGGCGGTCCTGGAACGTGAGTGGCAGAGACCTGCCTCAGTGTCCCTCTTGTGCCATCGGCTCCCACCCAGTAGAGCCCAGGCCCTCTCCTGCCCGGTTCTGTCCCCTCCCACCCACCTGAGCAGTCTCTGGCCTGGACGCGGGTGGGCCCCTCGCCCCCGTCCTGTCCGCCCATGCGTCCATCGCTCCGACCCGCTCCATCCGTGCTCCCTCCCTCCGTGGGCGCCTGTCTGGCTCTTGTCCTGGTCGGTGGGGCTGGGTCTGCTCCCTGGGTCAGCCCAGGTTCAAGGCTCTCCGGACCTCCCATGGGAACGTGCTCAGCTGACCGTGAGGCCGCTGTGTCGAGCCTGGGGTAGAGCGGGGCGGGGCGGGAGGTGTGGGCGTGCTGCAGGGCTGCTCCTAGCCTAGCCTAGCCGGGAGCTGATGCCTGGGCCACACCCCCGTGCACAAGGGCCCTCCGGAGGGCACCCTCTGAGCCAGGCCTCGGCGTGGCGGAGGGCCGACCCCTCCTCTCCTGCCCCTTGCTGACCTCTCGCCGTGGTCTCCCAGCGGGCACCGTGACGACTTCTGTGCAGAGCGGGGATTCCTGGGTGCAGCTCACCTGTACCTTGAACACCAGCGCCGCGGGCGTCACTGGGCACCGCTGGCTGAAAGGGAAGGAAGTGGTGAAGGAGGACCAGCTGCAGGGCCTGCACACCGAGCACAAGTGAGTGCGGGGGCCGGGGCCGGGGCCGCCCAGGCGGACCCTCCTCCTCCCTCCCGGGGGCTGGGGCAGGGGGCAGGGGGCCGGGTCTCAGCCCGGACCCTCCTCCTCCCTCCCGGGGGCTGGGGCAGGGGGCCGGGTCTCAGCCCGGACCCTCCTCCTCCCTCCCGGGGGCTGGGGCAGGGGGCCGGGTCTCAGCCCGGACCCTCCTCCTCCCTCCCGGGGGCTGGGGCAGGGGGCCAGGTCTCAGCCCGGACCCTCCTCCGGGGGGCAGCCCGGGGTCCTGCACGAGCCCCTCCACGGGCCCAGGCTCACAGCCGCTTGTCTTGTCGCAGCGTGACCGGGGACGACAGGTTTGGCAAGTACTCCTGCCTCTTCCTCCCCAAGGACACGGGCGAGGCCACGCTGACCGTGGACGGTGAGCGGGGGTCATGCTGGGGGCCTCGGGTGGGGCTCCTGCCGCGCCTGGGGTGCGAGGCTCCCTCTGGCTCCCCCCAGGGCCCCCCAGAATTAAGGCTGTGAAGAAGTCGGAGCACGCCAACGAGGGCGACTCGGTCACCCTGCTGTGCAAGTCGGAGTCCTTCCCCTTCGTGACCGCCTGGGTCTGGTACAAGGTGGCCGACTCCGGGGACCAGGTGAGGGCGCGGGGCAGGCCAGGGGGCGGTGGGGGGCCCACGGGGCGCCCTGTGGGGCCGGCCTCAGCCTCCCCCTGCCTCCTGCCCCCAGGTCATCCAGAACGGCTCCCAGAGCAGGTTCTTCATCAGCCACTCGGAGGCCCAGTCGGAGCTGCACATCAAGGACCTGGACCTGACCTCCGACCCCGGCGAGTACGCCTGCAACGGCACCAGCCTGCAGGGCACGGACGCGGCGGTGGTCACCCTGCGCGTGCGCAGCCGCCTGGCCGCCCTCTGGCCCTTCCTGGGCATCGTGGCCGAGGTGCTGGTGCTGGTCACCGTCATCTTCATCTACGAGAAGCGGCGGAAGCCGGATGAGGTGCTGGACGGTGAGTGACCCCCAGGGGGCGCCACGCCCGCGGCTCAGGCCCAGCCGCCCCTCAACTGCTCTGCAGGGCCTGGGTGTGCCCAGGAGAGGGAGGGGGTGGGGACGGGGAAGGGGGGGCAGCACTGACCCCTGACCCTGCCCTTCTCTTCCACGTGGCTGTGGTGCTCAGACGAGGACGCCGGTGCCGCGCCACTGTGAGTCCCGCTGTGGGGGGGGCACGCTGCAGGCTCCCTGTCCTCAGAGCTCAGCTGGGCCCTGTGGGGGTTTGGGGGGGGCTTTGGCCACTCAGGGGGCCCAGGCTGCAGGCCCTGTGGGGGTTGGGGGGGGCTTTGGCCACATGGGGGACCAGGCTGCAGGCTCCCTGTCGTCAGAGCTCAGCTGGGCCCTGTGTCTCCAGGAAAAGCAGCGGGCACCACGTGAATGACGACAAGGGCAAGAATGTCCGACAGAGGAACGCCAGCTGAGCCGGCCGCTCCGGGTTGGGGTGCAGCTGCGAGGAGCTGAGCCCTGCCCACCAAGGCTCCGCCCAGGGCTGGAGGCCACACCCCTACACCTGCCTGCTCCAAGGCTCCGCCCAGGGCTGAAGGCCACACCCTTACACCTGCCCTCCAGGCCCCTTGTGGGGGGGGGGACCCTGCCCTTTGAGGAAGGTCACAGGAGGCCCGGCCTCCAGCCTGTCTGGCCACGCCCTGCGCTTCCATTTTTATTCCTGGCTTCTGAGGGCACAGGACAGCTGTGGGGCCTCAGCTGCCCGCAGGGTGGCAGCCTCGTCCCCCAATAAAGACTGACCCCACCCGTGCACTGTGGCTTTGTCTGCCCCCAGCTGCCCCAGGCTGTGGGGGTTGGGGATCCCAGGCTGGGGCGGGTAGGAGGACTGTGTTGGGCCCTCTGGTCCCTGGAGGGAGGGACAGTGACCACCCTTGGAGCCCAGGCCCCCCACTCCTGCTGGGGATGGTGGGGGACTTCCTGCCAGGCTCAGACCCCTCCCCCACTCCCACACATGGGAGGAACTTCCTGCCAAGCACAGACGCCCCCCACACACGGGGTGGATTTCCTGCCCGGTGCTGGCCCCCCAACAGGCTTCCTGGACACGTGGCTGTGGCGCTCTGAGACCTGGTGCCCCCGAGTCCCCTGCAGGGGCCACCGGCTGGGCCGGGGCAAGCGTCCACTTCGGCCCTGAAGGGTACTGTGGGTCCCCAGGACCAGGGGGCCCGCCGCAGCTGCACAGATGCTGGAGGGAACTTGGGGAGCAGGGACTTGGGGTGAAGTTTGGCTGCGGTGGGGGCGGTGATGTGGGGCCTCGGGCCCTCAGCCAGCCTCTGCACCTGTCCCTTGGCTGGCCAGCCCCTCCCAAGTTCACTGGGAAGCCGGAGATCGGGTCAGACAGGGATAGGAGTTCTCCGTGTTGGAGGGATGCCACGCAGGCTGAGGGTGGATGGTGCAGTGGGCTCTGCTGCCTGGGACGCCAGCGTCCTGCGCCCTGCTGTCCTCCCAGCTCGGGCCTGGGGCTGCTCTGAGATGGGGGCTCCATTCCCAGTGTCCCCAGAGCCCTGGGCCAGGTGCGCGGCGGGGGCCCTGGAGGAACGCCAGGCTTGGCTGGCTGAGGTTCTGCTTGGAAATCCAGACCCAAGCGGCCAGCGCGGCCGCCGAGGCCCCGCGCTTCCTCCTGGCAACCACCAGAGGGCGCCGCGCACACACCGAGCAGGCGCGGACCCGACAGGGAGCCCTGTGCGTCTCCCCGGCTCCCAGCACGGACTCAGACCACTCTGCCCTGTCCGGGAGCACCGGCTGCCGGATGCACCGTGGTTTGCGTCCCTCTGGCTCGCCGCCGCCTCGGGTGGGCAAGACGGGTCCCCTCCTGCGTTTGCTGGGCGAGGGGCAATCCTAGGATGCTGGCTTGGTGCGACCAGGGGTCCCACGCACAGGCAGAGAAAGGCCAGTCCAAGAGGCGACGAGGGGCATCGGACGCCCGTCCCCCGGGTACCCCAGCTGGCTGCAGTGAAGGCGCCAGAGGCACTGCGGGGCCTGCACCTGCCCCTCCGCGTGCAGCAGCCTCGGGGCGGGGGCACTGGGGTCCCTGCCGCCCACTTCCTGGCTGCAGCCTGCCTAGCCCTGGCTGTCAGGCTTCTGAGGAGTGAACCCGTCTCTGCCTGCCTGCCTTGCAAATGAAATGAAAATACCAAAACTTGAAAGTTTTTCCTCTTAATTTAAAACCTGTCACATGGCCATGCTGCCGGAGGGTCCGTGTTCCTCCAGGAAGCGCCTGCTGTATGCCCCCCGCACCCAGGCCCTGTCGCAGCAGCTGGCTCACTGGGTGCTCAGCAGGGGCGCCCAGTGGGCAGAGGGGCAGGGCTGGGTGTCCAGCAGACAAGGCCCATTCATGGCGGGAGGCCGGCGGGCACAGCAGCTGGCTGCCTGCCTCTCCAGGGCGCAGCCGCCCCTCCCCCAGCACCCTGCAGTGGAGGCCCTGGGGGCCTGGCACCGACATCCTGGGGACGTCCCTTAGGGCTGGAGCACACCGGGCGGTAGGAGGCCATGCCTTGGCCCCCGGCAGAGGTGAGGGGTCACCAGATGCCCGTCCCCATGCTGCACCCCCCAGACCTGGGGCACAGCAACTGAGGGAGCGAAAAGACCCAGGGAGTCCAGCGCCGGGCAAACGGCAGCCGCACCAGCCTTGTGTGGGTCACGTGTGTGCCTCGTGTGTGTGTGTGTGTGTGTGTGTGGACCAGCCGGGAGCTCCTCCGTGGGCCCCGTACCTGGCATGAGCCACGCCCCCTCGCTAAGCAGGAAAAGGGGGTGCAGCTGCTTCGCTGGCTGCCTGGCACCGGCCTTCCACACGGAAGCCCTCAGGTTCTCGGCACGGATGGGGGAGGTGAGAGCAGACCGCAGGACGAGGCCGGCCTGCTCGGGGCCCAGTGGGCAGGCAAAGTGGCCTGAGGGAGGGACCGGGCAGCCCCCAGAGACGATCGACGTGGCCCCCACCCTTCCCCTGCCCCCATCACCCCGCTGCGGGGCCCAGGACCTAGACCTCTGTCACCCACGCAAGGTGCGACGAGGCCTCAGGACTCTGCTAAGGCCACGCCCCGTCCAGAGCACCTGCTGGCCCCTGTCCTGCATGGCCTGCTCAGTGGGTGACCAGTGACAGGGCAGCACCCACCTGGCTGTGCGTCCTGCCTCTGCGGCTCCAGGCCCAGGTGTTGAACCTGCATCTGCAGCCTAAGTGGACGGGGCGGTGGCCCGGCTGGGGGCACAGGCTGTGGTGACAAGAACCTGGTGACCTCTGGGCCCCTGCTGTGGGCATGGCGCGCCCTTGAGCTGGCCATGTCCACCTCCCCTGGTGCCCAGATGCGCCTCAGGGCTCTGGCAGCCGCCCACCCGGCACATCCCCATGGTAGACATACAGAGCCCACCTCTGCTGGGTGGGCCGTGGCACTGCCAATGCCACCACCGAGAGCCGCCTGGGAGACAGCTGCCCTGTGGCCGGCACAGAGTCCCCAGGGTGTGGGGCAGTTCGGCAGGGCACGGGATGGCACGCCAGCCCGCACACCCTCTGCACCCGGCCGGCGTCTACAGGTGCAGGGACCCCTTGAACCTCTGCCCTTGGAAACAGACCCCAGCAGGTACCACCTTGGTGGCCCAGCAGGACCGCAGGTGGCGGCGGGGGGGGCTCCAACCTGCTGAGTGGCAGACCCCTCACTGCCCCTTCCTCACCCACTCTGGGAGTCGGGGGTGGAGGCCAAGGTCACTGGGTCCCTGGCTTCAGCCCCAGAGGCTGGGAAGAGGGGGGCACCCAGGGGGCCGAGCTCTGGGACTCTCTGGCCCCAGCACCCCGTCAAGGTCCCCGCTGGACTCCAGCGCACCGTGTGGGGGGGTGTCTCCAGAGCCCGTGGTGGCCACGACCGCCACCTCGTCGTGCTGGACTCTTTCTCGCTTCCCGCTGCGCAGGTCCTGGGGAAGGGGAGACACACGGGACCCCCAGTGGCCTGCCCTCCCCGCACGCCTCAGAGGTCTGTGCCCAGAGCGCGCCTGATGGCCGCGAAGAACGCACTTTTGTGGCGGAAATCTGCGGGCCCGAGCCGTGACCTTGGGCTTGTCCTTCGCTCGGCCGCGCGGGGCCTCAGTTTCCCCTCGGCTGCCTCCGCGGGCCCGGGGGCCGCATGACCTTGGGCGTCCGACCCCCCCGCCTCAGTTTCCTCCGCCAGGGCGCGGCGCGCGGGCAGGGGGCGCGGGCAGAGGCTGGGCGACCGCCCCCGCCCCGCCCCCGCGGTCGAGACTCCGCCCCCGCCGCGCCCCGCCCCGCCCCGCGCCCCTCCCGGGCCCTCGGCGCGGCCGGCGGCGGCGGCGGCCGCTCAGCTCCGCACTGCCCGGCGCCGCCTCGCCATGGACGCGCGCGGGGGCGGCGGGCGGCCCGGGGAGAGCCCGTGCGCGACCCCCGCACCCCCGCCGCCGCCGCCGCCGCCGCCGCCCGCGCCCCCCCAGCAGCAGCCGCCGCCGCCCGCGCCGCCCCCGGGCCCCGCGCCCCAGCGGAGCCCGCCCGGCCCGAGCCCGCGCCCCCGGGGCGGCGAGATCTGAGGGCGGCCCCGCGCGCCCGGCTCCGGAGCCGCGACAGCTCGTGCGGCCCGCCCGGCACCCCCCCGGCGCGGCTATCGCGGCCAAGGGCAGCCCGAACGGCGAGTGCGGGCGCGGCGAGCCGCAGGCAGCCCCGCGGGGCCCGAGGGCCCGGCGCGCGGGCCCCAAGGTGTGCGTTTCTCGTGCCGCGGGGCGGCCGCGGCGCGGGGCCGGCGGATGAGGCGGGCAGCGAGGAGGCGGGCCCGGCCGGGGAACCGCCGGCAGCCAGGCCACTTCATGCAGCGCCAGCTGGCGCGCTCCTGCAGCCCGGCGTCAACAAGTTCTCGCTGCGCATGTTCGGCAGCCAGAAGGCGGTGGAGCGTGAGCAGGCGCGTCAAGTCCGCGGGCCTGGATCATCCACCCGTACAGCGACTTCAGGTAGCGCGCGCCTGGCTGCTGGGCCCCTGGTGACCTCCGGCGCGCCGGACGCGCGAGGCTCCGCCCTCAGGGCCCCGGAGCGCCCCCTTCCCCGAGCGCGTCAAGTCCGCGGGGGCCCGGATCATCCACCCGCCCGGCGACTCCAGGTAGCGCGCGGGCCGTCCTCGGGGGGCGCCCTCTCCCCCGCGCCCTGTCGCAGGACGCGGCGGCAGAGCCCGGGGCTGCGCGCTGAGGACGAGTGGAGGCAACGCGGCCTTCCAGGAGGAAGGGAGGGCGGCGGGGAAGGGTTAAGTGGGGCCCGCGGGCCTGAGCGGGGCGCGCGCGGCGTCTCCGCGAGCCGCGGGAGCTGTGGCGGGGTGAAGGTGGGCGTGTGCCGCCGACGCGAGTGAGAGCGGTTCGTGCGCGCCCAGGCGCCGGGCCGGGTCCAGAGCTGGGCCGCTGTGAGTGGCGTCCTCTCTCCCCGGGCGCGGGGCTCCGGGGGACGCGGGCCCGGTGGTGCGGGCGTGCGCCGGGTGTGTCCGGGCTGCGTGCGCGCGTGCGGGGTGAGTGGGGCGCCTCTGGGGCCTCTCCTGGCCCGCGCTCAGGGCGCGCGCGACTTCAGCACCGCGGACAGCGCCCGGGCCCGCCGCGCCCTCCGTCCTGCTGTCCTCGCCCGCGCCTGGGCCCACCAGCCGGGATTCTCCTCTGCTCCCGACGCCCCCTACCCAGGCCTGGGGATCAGGGTCTGTGGGACCTTCTGGTTCCCGACCCCTCCCACCCTCAGTGCCTGAGAACTGCAGGCTCTGGGGTCCAGGGCCACGGAACAAAGTCCA